AAACAGCAGGCGGACGGCAAGGGGTTAATGTAATACCGGCATCATCAAGCCCGGTTGCACAGGCGCCCTCTACCATTGCTTGTAGGTGTAGCTCGCTAGTCCCTCAAAGTGAATAATTGGTTAGCATATACGTAGCTTATTCTCTCTCGGGTAATGAGATGAACAAATAATGAAAATGTCAACATCTTTGGAAGCATATAAAAAAAAGCCATTGTCTGAGGAGGGGGGAAGAGTGAGGAATTGTTAAAACCTCCTAGGGGCTTCTCCTCTAGGACAGTTGCCACCAGAATAGGTGACCTCATGGGAAGATTTCTACACTATTCCTCTATCGGCAACAACTTAAAATGGAACCCTAGGCTTCCTCCAAAGGTTGCTAGGGGTTCCTTGAGCAATTTCAGCCTCTCAGGTAAGTTCCCACTGACACCATTGATCTTTTTAGCTACCTGTAAGGGGGAAATTCTTCTCAGTGGCCCCAAATGTAAGGAGCATTCTTCCCACTGGCCATCACACCAATGTATCATGAGTTGTAGATATAGTCACTTTTAGCAGGGGTTCCCTGAGACCGGAAAGTTATTTCAAGGGTTCCTCTGTGTTGAAAAGGTTGAGAAAGGCTGCTGTAGATGTACGTTTGTCTCAAGCATGTTTAACCATTTGCCGCCCCCCCCCTATAGCCGAATGGCGGCCAGCAAATGTCATCAGTGTTCCGGGTGGACGCCATATGGCGTCCTCCCACACATGCGCAGATTGCGCTCCTGCAGAGCCGCGCAGTGGCGCGATCTGTCACTGGCCGTGTACCTCGGACACGGCCGATGACAGATCTGAGTACGGGCCCCCTGTTGCCGGTACCATGTGACTTGTTGTGAACAATCACAGCAGGTCACATGACAGTTGTATACAATGGATGGCTTCATTCATGCCATCCATTGTATACTAGTGTCTAGCTGTGAATGGTCACAGCTAATCACATGCACATGTCATGTGATTAGCTGTGGCCAAATCACAGCTAAGCACAAAAAAAAAAAAAACCCTGAATGAATTGATGTCATTCAGGTAAATGCTTGCTTATAGCAAAGTAAATTCTTTGCTATAAGCAAATTGTGTAAAAAAAAAAAAAAAAAATACTGATCACTTCCCCAAAGTAGTACAATGTTACTATGGTAACATTGTACTACTTTGGTCATAGTAAAATATGAAAAAAAAATCTTAAAAAAAAGAAACAAAAATTTTTAAGAAAAAAAAATAAAAAAAAAATAATTTTCATACTGTCACCAGTCAGTGTCCCTGATCACCGCCATGCCAGTTATATGATGACGCTGTACTGCACTGGTGACAGTATGTAAAAAAAAAATAGTGAAACTAATTTTTTTAATTTTTTAATTTTCCGAAAAATTATGACAAAAAAAATACAACTTCAAAAAACTTGCCATGCCTCTTATGAAGTACCTCGGACTGTCTACTCTGCAAAAAGGGGTCATTTGGGGGATATATCTGTACATTTGTCCTGACATTTGGGGGATATCTGTACCGTTCTGACATTTGGGGGATATCTGTACTGTCCTGACATTTGGGGGATATCGTCCTGACATTTGGGGGATATCTGTACTGTCCTGACATTTGGGGGATATCTGTACCGTTCTGACATTTGGGGGATATCTGTACCGTTCTGACATTTGGGGGATATCTGTCCTGTCCTGACATTTGGGGGATATCTGTCCTGTCCTGACATTTGGGGGATATCTGTACTGTCCTGACATTTGGGGGATATCTGTACTGTTCTGACATTTGGGGGATATCTGTACTGTCCTGACATTTGGGGGATATCTGTACTGTTCTGCATTTGGGGGATATCTGTACTGTTCTGACATTTGGGGGATATCTGTACGTCCTGACATTTGGGGGATATCTGTACTGTCCTGACATTTGGGGGATATCTGTACTATTCTGACATTCTTGGACCTCAAGAAATTAGATTGCCTGTCAGTACTTCAGGATTGATCAATATTCAGATCTATACCATAGTTTGTGAACTCTATAACTTTTCTACAAACTAAATAATACATCCTAATTTGGGTTATTTTCACCAAAGACATGTAGCAGAATACATCTTGGCCTAACTTTTATAACAGAAACAAAAGAAAAACGTGTTTTTTTTCAAAATTTTTGGTCTTTTTTTGTTAATTTAGCAACAATAAACCCCCCAGTGGTGATTAAATACCACCAAAAGAAAGCTCTAGTTGTGTGAAGAAAATGATAACATTTTAGCTTGGGTACAATGTTGTATGACCGCGCAATTGTCATTCAAAGTGTGAGAGCGCTGAAAACTGGCCTGGGCAGGAAGGTGTAAAATTGCCCGGTATTGAATTGGTTAAATCCACTTTGTCGACTGATCCCCTACTTGAACCTACAAGGTTGAATTTGACGGAGAGAGTAACCTCCTCAATGAGGAGAAAGAAAAGTTCTCTTACCTGCTCTTTTAGAAACTAGAAAAAAAAATTGCTACTGTAGCAACTGTAGGGTTTAATTAGGCTGTGTATTTTATAAAAGTACATATTGTTTGGTAAAAAAAATTGTTTTGATCACTGATTTTTTTTTTTTTTTTTCTTTGTGTGTGGAAAACCAGTGTTCTTTCTTTAACTAGATTGGCCTTTTCATTTCTAGATGATGCTGGTGAAGAGCTTGACAACCAGTGCAGGATTACAGGAGGAATGTGCAAGGCATTCTGCTCCTCCCCATTCTTCGCGGGCGGACAATGTGCCAATGGACCGTGCTGTAGAATCATACTGCATTAGAGCCCCAGAATGTCACCGACCTTATCAGGCAGACACCTCTGATTACCTACCAAACCATCATCGCTAAACAGGGAACTGCTAATGGGACCTACCAAACCAAACCATCATTGGTACATAATTCACCTCTAATGGGACCTACCAAACCAAACCATCATCGGTACATAATTCACCTCTAATGGGACCTACCAAACCCCTCTAAACCATTATCATTATGAATTAGATAAGGATTAAAAATGTCCATTGATTATCTGCTCCTGTCCATTTAAATCATTCTAGCTAACTTTAGAATGTGCGCACACTGGAAGAGACTCACGCTGACACACAAGTTCAGTCTATGAACACTTCTAGTTTATTATAATGAGAAAGTGAGCTTATATATGCAAAATGATGCAAGAGTCATGTGAGAACAGCATACGCATTATATTAGTCTTTGATTGGTCATTTCCACACGAAAACAATCTTCGTCAGAGCATACAGTAGGTGTGATCTTCTTCCAAGTCTTATCTATAGAAAGAAAAACATTCCTTTGTCTCAGATTGGCACGATGGGAGGGGGTCGTGCATGTGAGCAGACATTTCTTAAGCAAGGATTTCTTAAAGTACCACAAAGCCCAGCAGGCAGAAAATATACACACAACATATATATTCAATAGGAAACGAAATAGGCATTTTACCACATCCATCACAGTCCCCCTTAAAATGACTATTTTACTCTGTCCCTATAAAGCCTAGCGCACCTGTCCTATTGGCGGTGAGGGACCGTATTGGGGTATAAGGTTTTCTTCATCTATCATATGCAGATCCTCTTGCTCCTGGTTCAAGAAGGTAGGTGTACTGTTGTCTACAGCTTTGCTCATCAATTTCCTCACACATGGTATAACACAGCATACAACCAGGGCCAGGAGAATCAGAATTATTAGTATAGGTATCCCTATCTACATTTTTATTCACAGTTATCATGGGAATCAGGGATTCAAAACCTGCTTTTACTTGGTCTCTGGCTTTAAATTCATTAGACACCCCCCTTGGGACTACAATGGCATCTATATATAAATGTGGGTCATAACTACACAGAAGGAGCTTTTCGCTTCCTCCTACGGCCAGGCATTGGGTCATGAGCAGGGGCGGACTGACAACTCATGGGACCCCGGGCAATAGGGGATCAGGGGCCCCTGTGTCCTTGCCCAAACTCAAAAAAGCCTATGAAAAAGGTACCAGGGCATATGTCATGGGGCCCCCTACTGACCCTGGGCCCTCGGGCAGTGCCCGAGTTTCCAATGGTCAGTCCTCCCCTGGTGGGAAGAATGTTCCTTACATTGGTGTCAGTGGGAAGAATGTTCCTTACATTGGTGGTCAGTGGGAAGAATGTCCCTAACATTGGTGGTCACTGAGAAGAATGCTCCTACATTGGCTGTCAGTGGGAAAAATTACCCTTCATCCTGGTGTTCTTGGAAGAATGTTCCTTACATTGGTTCAGCAAGTGGAAAGAATGTTCCTTACATTGTGGTCCAGGAAGAATGTTCCTTACATTGGTGGTCAGTGGGGGAAGAATGTCCCTTACATTGGTGGTCAGTCAGTGGCTGATCAGTGGGGAATGCTCCTTGCACTTGGTGGTCAGTGGGAAGAATGTTCCTTACATTGGTGGTCAGTGGGAAAAAGTACCCTTCATAGGTGGTCAGTGAGAAGAATGTTCCTTACATTGGTTATCAGTGGAAGAATGTTCCTTACATTGGTGGTCAGAGGGAAGAATGCCTTACATTGGTGGTCAATGGGAAGAATGTTCCTTACATTGGTGGTCAGTGAGAAGAATGCTCCTTACATTGGTGGTTATGAGGAAGAATAGTTTCCTTCTACATTGGTGATCAATGGGAACATGCTCCTTACATTGGTGGTCAGTGGTCTCATCTGTCCTTACATTGGTGTTCCAGGGAAGAAGGTTCCTTACATTGGTGTCAGAGGGCAGAACTCTAATGGCCTTCCTGTTGGTGGTGAGGCTCACCAATGGTCCTTACATCTTGTGGTGAATGCCCTACATTGGTGGTCAGGGAAGAATCTTCCTTACATTGGTGTCAGTAGGAAGAATGCTCCTTACATTGGTGGTCAGAGTGGGAAGAATGTTCCTTACAGGGTGTTTTCTTGGTCAGGGAAGAATGCTCCTCCACCACATTGGTGGTCAGAGGTGGTGTTTCCTTACATTTTGGTCAGAGGAAGAATGCTCCTTACATTGGTGGTCTTTGGGAAGAATGCTCCTTACATTGGTGGTCAGTGGGAAGAATGCTCCTTACATGGGTCATGGGAAGAATGCTCCTTACATTTGATCTTGGGAAGAATGCTCCTTGACATTGGTGGATCATGGGAGAATGCTCCTTACATTGATTGATCAAATGGAAGAATGCACACTTGTCATTGAACTCCTGGATCTTGGGAAGAATGCTCCTTACATTGGGATCATGTGGGAATAACACAACATGGGAGAATGCTCCTTACATTGGTGATCAGTGGGAAGAATGCTCCCATTACATTGGGAAGAATCCCTTCAGTGGGAAGAACTTACAGTGGGATCATATGCAAACTGTTGTAATGCTCCTTACATTGGTGATCACCTGATTTGGGAAGAATGCCCTTACATTGGTGATCAGTGGGAAGAATGCTCCCTTACATTGGTGATCAGTGGGAAGAATGCTCCTTACATTGGTGATCATGGAAGAATGCTCCTTACATTGGTGATCATTTATGGAGAATGCTCCTTACATTGGTGATCACTGGGAAGAATGCCCCTTACATTGGTGGTCAGTGGAAGAATGTCCCTTACATTGAGTCAGGGGCGGACTGAAATGCATCCTTACATTGGTGATCATGGGGCCCCTATTTATTGCCCAAATGATAAAAGCCTATGGTATTGTACTCACAAATGACGATACATGTCAAAGGGCCCTCGGAACAGTTCTGTTTCCAAATGGTCTACGTGTCTCCCCTGGTGGGAAGAATGTTCCTTACAGGCTGGTCGTTGGGAAGAATGTCCTCAGAGCCCTCTACATGCACGAGTGGTGGTCAGTGTGGGAAGAATGTCCCTTACATTGGTGGTCACTGAGAAGAATGCTCCTTACATTTAAAGCTGTTTTGGGAAAAATGTGCCCTTCTGTAGGTGTCATTTTGTGAGGAAGAATTCCTTACATTTGTTTAAGTGGGAAATTGTTCCTTACATTGGTGGTCAGAGGGAAGAATGCCTTACATTGGTGGTCAGAGGGAAGAATGTTCCTTACATTGGTGGTTGTGGGAAGAATTTCCCTTACATTGTGGTCAGAGGAAGAATGTTCTTTACATTGGTTATCAGTGGGAAGAATGTTCCTTACATTGGTGGTCAGAGGGAAGAATGCTCCTTACATTGGTGGTCAGTGGGAAGAATGTTCCTTACATTGGTGGTCAGTGAGAAGAATGCTCCTTACATTGGTGGTCAGAGGGAAGAATTCCTTACATTGGTCATTGGTGGTCAGAGGGAAGAATGCCTCCTTACATTGGTGGTCAGAGGGAAGAATGTTCCTTACATTGGTGGTCAGTGAGAAGAATGCCCTGTACATTGGTGGTCAGAGGGAGAATGTTCCTTACATTGGTGTCAGTGGGAAGAATGCTCTTACATTGGTGGTCAGAGGGAAGAATGCTCCTTACATTGGTGGTCAGAGGGTCATGATCCTTACTTTGGTGGTCAGAGGGACGAATGGCTCCTTACATTGGTGGTCAGAGGAAGAACGCTCCTTACATTGGTGGTTATATGGGAAGAATGTTCCTTACATTGGTGGTCAGAGGGAAGAACGCTCCTTACATTGGTGGTCAGTGGGGAAGAATGCTCCTTACATTGATGGTCAGTGGGAAGAATGAAACACTCCTTACATTGGTGGTCAATGGGAAGAACGCTCCTTACATTGGTGGTCAGTGGGAAGAATGCCCTTACATTGATGGTCAGTGGGAAGAACACTCCTTACATGGTGGTCAATGGGAAGAATGCTCCTTACATTTGGTGGTCATTGGGAAGAATGCTCCTTACATTGTTTGATCATTGGGAAGAATGCTCATTGCATTGGTGATCATTGGGAAGAATGCTCCTTACATTGGTGGGTCAGTGGAAGAATGTCCCTCACATTGGAGGTCACTGAGTAGAGAATTGCTCCTTACATTTGGCTG